CAAGTCATTTACATATATTAGGAACATTAGCGGCCCAATACACGTACCTTGAGGTACGCCACTAGGCGTAGGATAGGAATAAGAATGGGAGTCGTTGACGAGCACTACTTGGGTCCTGTCACTGAGAAAAGAACGCAAGAACTGGTGCAGACGGCCCCTGATGCCGTAAACCTCTAATTTCCTAAGAAGCAGTGGTATTGAGATGGAGTCAAAAGCCTTGGCATAGTCGTTATTTTCGCTACTTTATCAGTACAGTTGCCGCTCATACCACTTTCTGTCACCTACATTCAACCCTCGCCACCTTGATCGCTTGCCAGTGATAATTGCAACGAAGTTGGAGAGACCTGCATTCAGACGCTCTTATCATTCCTTGTCATTTGTTATCAGTTCATACTGCTCGCAATCGGTGTCCCGGTCCCACCCTCCAGGCAACGTGTAGGAGCTAATATTTACTGTCACCACGAAGGCTACAACGAAATTAGCAGTACTCAAAATCCTAACTTCCTTATCAACCGTTATCGCTTGTTATCACTTCTGATCATCCACTATCCGTGTTCCCGTCCCATCCCCTATACCACATGTGAGAGCCAAGGTTCCAATGTAACTGCGAGGGGCCGCAACGAAACTGGTGGTACACACACACAACCGCTTAGCCGATTATATATAGTTAGTAGGATATTTACGATTGCTAGGTGCGGTCGCTACGCTCACAAGGTTGTCCCTGTTACGTGGCCATACAAGCCAAAACGCGCGCTGTTGTCAATGCGCTAAGCGGCACTCGATTCGCAAAAAAATGCGCGGACGCGTGCATGGTTTCTCAGCCGTTTTATTTGGTACGAAAACAAAAAGAGAAATGCCGCTGTTCCTCCTTGTGCGGAAAGCAGTTCACAATCACGTTCACCTTACCATGGTACTTAGATTATAGGTCTGAGTAAGCAGATTCCTACAAGAATGCAAGTTACAAGTATGGAGACGGAGTTTGCTATGTGGGCTTCTTAAAGGAATCCTTCCCGAGAAAATCATGATACTAAATCGCCCATAAATCACTGGCTTGAGACTCGTCGGTCAAGATCATGACGAAAAGAACAAAAAATACATTTGTTTTGGTAAACAATTCGAAAAAAGTAAAGGACTGCTACGCGTTCAAATTCCCGCCGGAAATCTGTCACAAATGCTGGTCTGGGTTCACGGAGTGCTGTTACTAGAGCTCTTTTCGTCCTTTTGACTTATTGCACTGAATCTCGCACTTCTACTGCATCATACTCTTATCGATTGTTTTGTTCTATTGACCAAAATTCGAACGCTCCAACCAGATTCTTTTGATGCGTCACCTGCTGCGTGGCCGCCCAAAGACGCACTTCCTTCCATGCTCCGCCTTTGGCACCGCGCTACCTAACGAGTGGAGGTACTTAGTTTGAAACTTAGTACGGTAGCGTAATTAGGGCAATAAGAAACCACTTAATTGCTCGCGCAGGAAACAACCTTTTCGAAAGCTTCAGAGCCAGCAAAATATAGGTAAATGAAGAAATCACGGAGTCTTACTGCAAAACTGCTTTTTCAATCAAAGTCAATATTGTGTGCTCTTTCTGTAGATAATAATGGTGATATGTATACAACAGCTTCCGGAGTTCGGAAAAAATTGGCATTTTTCGAGCCCGAGAAACCTATAGTGTGATATCAGCGAGCGCATCAGCAATGTTTGATAGAATGAGTTCACACAAACGTCTTACTCATATTCGCTCTGTAGTTGCTTTCAAGATTGGAGGTGATTTTCAAATGTCAGGCATCCAAAAAATTCTTAAAGAGAAGAATTTTTTAAAATTTGTCTGATCTGGGGTACGGCGAATAGTCTGTCCAATTTTCTCACGATTGTCTGAAAATGCGTCCTTCTCATCTCGAATGTTCAAAGATATATGTTGAAACATCATACTAATGTAATGTGCAAAAAAGTGAATAAAATAAACGGTAAAGAACGATACGAGATCCTACCGGGTTCTTCAGAGCGTACAAATAACAGAAGTCAATTGCCGTTGACCTGCATTCATACTATGGTAAGTACGCTCTTATCATACCCGTGATCCTTTTTTTATAGAGGGTAACGTCACACGTTGGTGACTCCCACTCACGCATTCCACCTCCATTCAGAATCTTTTCGGTATTTTTGAATGTGTAGTTTTGTAGGAGGTTGTCCTCCGATGAGGATGAACTCGGAGATGAATCAATGCAAGCGCATGCGCTTAAATGAGTAGTTGTTCTATGGCGTTATTTCATATCTTCATCTTCCATTCAGCATTTCCGTCTTTAAAGGCATGCCCCAGGATCACATTGGTGTGGCTCTTGCACACGAATGCGAATGTATTGGTGCGAAATGGGCCGGCAGTAAAGAAAAAAGGAAAAGAATCCGTCGAAAACGCTTAGGTTAAGGGCTCACTCACCTTCCTAATCGGCTGTGCTAAGGGAATGAGAGACTAAGCGCGGAGAGGAGAGTATGAGGCGAGAGAGCGCTACAGATGAGAGAGCGCCAGACAACAGCCTGATAAGAGAAAAAATCTGCAGCAGCTTCAGCAGCTTACTTTGCAAGGCCCAAGCGCTCTTGTCGGTTGGTTTCCGTGCACGGGAACGCCACATTTGTGATTGTCCTCTAGGGGTCTATACTACAGACCGAAGGAAAGCGTTCACACGACCTCTGCCTGGGTTGTGCCTTCAAGAAAATTTTGAAGTCACTCGATCCTGCCCAGGTGATCTTCATCTGCCCTGAGATTGACGTGAATGTTAAGCTGCCTTCATAACGCGGACTATTATGATTGCTCAATTCATATTTCATATAACAGTAGTAGAGTAGTGGTTATTACTCGAAAATTTATTGGCTCTTGAATAGTAGTTAAACACTCGAACATTATTTCGCTTACTTCATTTTGTTTGTTTTGGAGCTGTCGGGAAATGTCAGTATTCGGCGCAAGCAATTAAGTGGGGTCATCCCACAGGCAATTTGGGAATGTGCGAAGTGACCTACCGTGCGCTACAGTAATCCGCTAATTACGCTACCGTACCAAGTTTCAAACTAAGTACACACCTCGACCTACCTTCGACTGTCCGTAGACTGGGTTTCGTGTGTTCGTTTTTCTTCGGACACTGAATCCTCGTGCGTGAAACTTTGTATGTGGTCTCTAGTGATCGCAGTTGGCATATACAGGGGTGGCCAAAAAAAGAGACACTTTGCCCATGGCGCACATCATCGAACTTTTCGTCGCACAGGGTGCCGATGTTAATGAAAGTTTTACGGCGGAATATTCCTTAGGTGTTCCCCCGTAAGCAGAAGCAGGCCCTCCTTCACTGCCCCACCGTCTTCAGAATATGACGTCATCTGCCGTCACCGTCGAGCTCAACGAGGCTTACCGTAATCGCTCCGGCCTGAAGCTGCTACATAATTTCTTCAATCGATTAACTGGTGAATAGCTTCTTAGAGACACTAGCTGTGACTGTGCAAGACCGCTTTTGACCAGCGTTTCAGGGACGTCGTAATGGTCTATGGTACCTCGACGACCTCGTTGAGCTCGTACCGTGAACCATGTTTCCGTGGGAAAATCTTCTGATGTCGTCGGTGTAGAAGGCTGTCATGTAATTTAGATAGATTAGAATGTGCTCTTCAATAAGTTGGGGTCAGTCGATTTGATTCTAGCAAAGTGTGATTAATGCTGTCTGAAATGTGGAGTGAAGTGTCTCTTTTTTTGGCCACCCCTGTATATGTTGGGGAAGAGGCAAGAATTTACCGGGAAAATTTCTTTGGGGAAATTGTGAGCGATCAAAGTCGGACAGTAAATACACTTGTTTTTGCTTGTTGTTTGTTTTTGTTTGTTAATTTTTTTAGGAAATACACTGTTAGTATTATATCTTGCGCTCAGAAATAAAAATATACGCATCCGCTTTTATACTAATTTAGAGCTGCCTATTGGGGTAAATACCCACTTGTAAGTGGGAATCAGTGGGCTGACGGGTATGATATTCATTTTTGAGATAGCGGCTACCTAGCGTCACAACTTACGTCTTTGATGCATTCCTTGCCAAATTATCGTTAGAGCGTAAATGGCAATTTTGGTCTTCATATTCGTGACTAGGGTCCTTGATCTAAGGGGTGGCCAAGAAAAAAACACTTTGCTCATGGCGCACATCTTCAAACTTTTCATCGCAGAGGGTGCGCTGTTTATGAAAGTTTTACGGCAAAATATCCTGTGGATGTACTTTCATAATCATTCCCGCTGCTCACCCGTGAGCGGTCGGTTGTTGAGGCGCTCTCGCAACGTCGGTCTTTTTTACGTTCCACGACTGTTTCTATTCGCGAGGCCTCTTACTACTATACTCTTTGAGTATACTGGAGTAGTTGGCTTACAGTTCTATACCTTGCTGCTCTATACTGAAGCGCACTTAGCTCGGAACGGTGCTACTATTATTGGAATGATTTTCCACTACGCGCAGATCACCACGGCCGTGATCAATACTGTACAACTGGGTCGTCTCAACAGGTGTTTTGACGAGCTTTCTTTCAGTTTTTTTGGCAATGAGCACTTCCCTTCAAGGTATTTTCGAAGGTACAAAGAGGTCATGCCCGTCATCTTCTCCCATATCTTCGCCGCCTCAACCTACTGGACTTGACGATGTCATGCGAAAAGTCAACGCCTCTTCGCTGGTAAAAGAGCTGAGTGAAGTCAAACTTGAGCGAGATCAGTTGCGACAAGAAAATCCGTTCTTGCGCCAAAAACTAGGTCTAGCTCCTGATGTTCCGCTGAGTAGTGCCCTGTTGTAGATCAACCTGTCAGTACTATACGTTCTGATATTATTGATTGTCAAGAATCTGAGCGACGTAGGTCTACAGTTATAGCAGGTGTACCTGAACTCAAAGAATGTAGCATCCGTAGAAATTGTTTTATGACAACAATAGCGTTCTGAACATTCTCGAGTATCTTGATGTTGACTTGTTTACCCGTGGCTGTTTATAGGCTCGGATGCCCTGCCATGGGCAGACAGATTACTTGAAAGTTGTGTTGCCATCGTCTTATTTTCAACGATTAGCAGTTTCTCGTGCTTCTCGACTTCGCTTCTTTCCCGGTCGTGGGGTATTCCTTAGAGAGTCCCGCACGAATGCAGAGAGGAAGCGTCTTCGTGAAGAACGCATGATGCACCCAAACTCAACCTCCTTGCCTCATAGCTTTCGTAGCGCTG